TGAAAGGTAATCTGGTAGACAGTTGTAACGACCTTGTATGTGAATAACTTGTTCGATATTGAATTCTTGTAGTAGCTGGGATATTCTTTGAACCCTTTTATTTTTCTGGTTCTTCTTGCACATACTACAAAGGGGACAGTGATCTGTGTAGATAATTATACTTCTTCCGAGAAGGTACGATCTCATGCGATGGATTGACACCCAAATCGCCAGAGCTTCTTTCTCGATAGTATCGTAACGCTTCTGGGTTGGTGTGATAAGTTGAGAGTGGTAGTACAAGTTTTTCATTTCGCCATTGATGTCTTGCTGTAAGACTCCAGCAACTCCTACGTCGGACGCGTCTGTCGAGAGGATTACAGGTCGAGTATCGTCCGGGAAACTCAGAAATAGTGGTCGTTCGGTTAACAACTTTTTTAGTTGATGAAATGCGTCTGATTGTTCCTTTTTCCAACGAAATTTATGTTGATTAGTTTTAGTAAGGTTGGTAATGGCGTGAATGGGCGCTGCTACGGTAGCAAATTGTGGGAGAAACTTACGATACCACGATAGTGCTCCGATGAACTTATTGGCTTGAGACAATGTTTTAGGTTCTCTTAGATTAAGGATGGCGTTGATCTTATCGTTCAGTGGTTTGATTCCATTGCTACTGATTGAATGTCCCAGATATTCGATAATGGATTCAGCTATTTCACATTTAGGAGGATTTAACTTAAAGTTATTCTTATTTAGAATCGAGAGGACTTGGCTAAGCTGTTGAATATGTTCTTCAAATGTTCTGGAGAAGATAACAATATCATCTAAGTAAACTACACAAAACTTTCGGCACGGTTCGAGAACTGACTGCATTACTTTCTGAAAGGACGGCGGCGCGTTCTTGAGACCTTGTGCTAAGACATTAAACTCGAACAATCCGAAAGGTGTTATGAATGCCGTCTTCTGTCGGTCTTCTTCTCTGATGGGCAGCTGCCAAAAGCCCGACTTCAAATCAAGTTTTGTAAAAAACGAGTAACCAGCTCCAAGTTTCTGGATGGTTTCCTCCATATTCGGCAAAGGGTTCTGATCTTTGATAGTAACAGCATTGAGCTTTTTATAGTCGATAACGAGACGCCAGGTTTCGTCTTTTTTCTTCGTGAGAAGCGCCGGTGCTGCATACGGTGAGTGAGATTTTCGTATTTGTCCTGATGCCAGTAGTCCTTGTATAATATTGTATAGTGCTTCATGTTTTTCAGTAGTGAATGGATAGGATCGAGAACAGGGTGGGACATGAGGAATAGTATCGATGGCATGTTGAATGGTAGTGGTTGCTACCGATGTAACCGAATTATCAAAAGTTGTTTGTTGTTGAAGAAGAATCGATTTTAGTTTAGAATGTAAGTCTCCCTTCTTAATATGCGTTATCAAATTCTCGATATTGATTTCCGCAATCGATTTCCCAGAATCAGATGTTATTTGAGAGGGGGGTAAATCATTGGTTTTTGGAGAAAGTTTGATAATTCCGATAATGACTCCTTTCGAGAGATAAGACGGATACGAAGTAGGATTGTAAAGAGGGATTGTTGCTGTGTGATCTTCTATTCGCATGTTTGAGTCAGTGAGGCACATTTGCTTTTGAAGGTTATACGAGGGTTTAAATAGAACCGAAGCGGAAGAAATTCCGGTGGTTACCTTAACTGATGTATGTGTATGAGGAGGAATATAGATATGATTAACGAGAGTAACAGGAAGACGAAAACTTGGCGGTGTTTCTTCCATTGGGATAGATGTTTCGATATTATTAAGTCGAATAGATACTGTGTTGGTGCCATTATCAATCTTTACTTTATATTTCTTTAAATAGTCGTTACCGAGAAGACAGTCGGTACAAAGGCGTTTGACGACGAATGCGAGTATTTTCGTTGCGATGTTTCTTATCTGGATGGTTAATTCGACTAGGCCTAGGTGTGGTAAAGGTGTGTATCCATCGGCTTGATATAGCTGTTGAAGGGTGGTTCGAATAAATTTACTGTGGTGTGTTGATCGAATAGCCTTTTCGGTGATCAGTGTATGTGTAGCTCCGGTGTCAATCATAGCATACATTTTCTTGTTGTTAATAAGGGGAGAGATAAAATTCAATGATGGATTTTTGTTGTTATTATCACCGGAAGCATCACCATCTGACGATGCGTCCGCTACCCGAAACCCGGACAGTCTCGCGCGCGATGCGCACGTGAACCACAGTGCAGACACGGGCGAAAAGGCTGCTGGGATTGCTGACGATGTTGTGAATATAAATTAAAATTGTTATTACAAGATTGTTGTTGAAAACTAGATTGGGACGAAGTAGTTGGATTAGAAGAAGAGTTTCGGTTAGTTGTTTGATGATTCAATGTTGTTGTAACAGGAAGGGGACTGTTATCATTACGTGAACCAGACGAAGAAACAGAGGAAGCTTGCTGTTGAGAATGTGGATTTGTACGTCTCGGTGGTGCAACATAGACATCTGAATTTCTATCTGATATATAGGGTCGTGGCTGTTGAAAAGCATTCGAGGCTGACGAGAATGGTTCTGATGGAAATGTAATAATTTCATCTTTCCCAATCAGTGCTTGAAGATCGTCGACTTTTTTAGCATATTCGAGAAATTCTTTCGTGGATGCCGGATCCTTCTCTATCACTTTTATTTTAATCGTTGGTTTTAAGCCGGAAAAGAGGTGCTGAAGCTTTGTTCTGTCCGACATATCTGAATCAGCTTCTTTGCATAATTTAATTACTTCGGTATAATATTGTTGTACATTTTGATTCGGTGTTTGCTGATAACGTTGGAGACGTTCGAATGCTAAAGTAACGTCATACGAAGAAGTGTAGGTCTTGGTAATTTGTGCTTTGAACTCTGTCCAGTATTTGA